CTGGGGCCTGATATCATGCAGCTGGCACAGTCTTTCAAAGTCCTGCAAAAATCCCTGTATCATGCTGGGTGAAGCCGGCGACTCCCCTCTGGCTTGCTGGTTTGGTTGGACCCCTCTGGCTATGAGGTATTCTTGTACATCTGTCATGATCCTGTCGAAAATTTCTGGGGATGGTGTAGTTGGGTACAGGGCCAACCTACTTCTGAATTCTTTCTGAAATTCAGTTTGTTCCTTCTCCCTTGGAGGTGCTGCAGCAGCTGCGGCTCTGTCTCCTTCCATGAGCTCAGAAATAAGGGTAGCCTTTATCTTGTTGCTGGCTATTGTTCCCCTTGCCTCCAGTTATTCCTTTAATGTGCATAATTCATTTCCATTCACCGGCTGTTCGTGTGATTCCACGTATTCCCGAATTCCGGTTTCATCCGAATGGTTATCTCACGAATTTCTGTTTCTTTTCCTCTGTTCGCGTCAATTTCTGCTGAACTCTGCTTTGCTGTGTGGTTTAAATCCCGTCGCTTGCCACCAATTGTAGCGGAGTAGTAGTATTATCCACGGTATCTCCGCTGGCAGACAGAATAAAGCAGGTACAAAGTAGACAAAATCCAGGTAGCGTAGTTACAATCCCTTTCTCCCAAGAACTAGACGACACATAGCTTGGAGGTCAACTGAGGTTTTAATCACAGGTCACAGTATTTATGTGGTTACAAATGTAAGGGGTTTCCCAAGTCACATTACAGGGTTTCTCCAGTAGGGGACTACATGGGGTTTACAGACGGATTACCCATCATACACTGCTGTACCAAGGAGATAATTACCCCAGAATGCATTGTTAATGGGATTATGTCTTGGTACAGAAAAATACAGTTTTTACATTAAAATCCATAACTGACATAATATTCCTGCTATGCAGCTAACAAACCCCTTATTACATAGCTGGGACCTGAGCGCACGATTAAGGGAACTTGCGCTCAGATCCCAGCACAAAGAACCGAACGCCGTTCATTTTACATGACCAGAACCACTTGGTTTAAAACGGTTGTATTAACTGAGGGAATGAGATTCCCGAAAGAATAAAACTCCCGAACGGCATGGAAGTCCAGCAGGGCTTGTGTTGGCGAGTAGCCGAATTTAGTTCCAGGCACTTGACGACAAAACCACGCTGACTCTCCGAGAACAAAGATGGCCGCCGCCACGTGTTCGGTACACGAACGGCGGCCACCCGCAACATACATTAATTAGCACGGATACACTGTTGCAAAGTACCTAATTGGAGACACACTGCTGGGGGTGGTCTCCCATTCGGTGCTTTGCTTGTTCCACGAACAGTGTGGTGATTCACTGTTCATGGATAACCAACCCGAATACTAGCGGTATTCGTGTGCTGTAACACACGAATCCTTCATACATTGATCTTTTATTCGGGGAAACAAACAATACGGGCAATAGCATAAAATATACAGTTACACTCAGTAAGTGGCTAGATTTGCCACACGGTCGTTAGATCAAATTGAATGCAGGAGGGACGCCCCTTGATGCAAACATCGTTGTCCTGTACGGGTACGAGCCTGTGTGATGAACAAATGGACAGCACCGTAGTGAGTTGAGTGTATGAGAGAGCCGCGCTCTCTAATAATGTGACCAAACTCTGTGTCAGCGTCCGGCTGATAGCCTGAGCGGGCCTGCGCCCTTTAATAACAAATCAGTGTCCGGTTCCGTATATGAGAGGGGTTCACTCTCTGTTCATGAAAATTAAAATATCGTTCTCGGATCGAGGTGATGGAGGGCGGCACCTTCTTGTAAACCAAACTAGAGTCCCTTAGAGACCCAGGGTGACCAACTGCAGGGGTACACCATTTGCTAATATCAGTGTAAGACTGAGATCCTGAGGTGGGTCTCTCTCTGATCACAAGACCTCTTCCTGAATCGCTCACCTGAGGTGGAATCACCCGGCAATAAACCAGACCGATGGAATAGTATACAACCACGGCCTCGTCCATCCTAAATAGCAGAAAGTGATAGTTAGAAAATGCAACCTTCGGAAACAAAGATGGAAACCACCAACAGACCGCCCGGATCCCGTGCACGCGCGGGGTCCAGGATGACCGTCGGTAGCCTGAGGAAAGCTGGAGACGTTCTCTGCAATCCACGAGAGCCCGGGAGGTCGGGGGAGGTCAAGTCAGAACCAATTGGAAGGCTCGAAAACCAAGAAACGACAAATAAAGTAGAGAACGGTAAATACGTACCTCGGGCGTCTTAGCACTGGTCCCCGCCTGTGCGAAACTGTCCTTGGAGATATGCCACCGCCGGGTTGGAGTAAACTGCGGTGGCGCACCCAGGGATCCTCATAAAAAACCTTGCCCCTCAGGGCATGAGGTTTAGGGCCTTCACCCTTCCAAACATATTGAGGTGCCCGTATACTGGTGTCCTCTTGGATAGTAAGGCAGCAGTGGTTGCCCACCCATCTCCATGTCCATAGTGGGTACTGGGATTTTCTTAGTGAGATCCTCCCAGGCCTGCGGCCTAAAGGGGGTTTCGGGCCCTGACAGCTCAGGCCTAACAAAGGGCACAGATAGAGGAGGCCAGTCAGAAGGGCACGGACATAGCAGGCCGATCAAATGGGCACAGACCTAGCAGGCCAATCAATCGGGCACAGACATAGCAGGCCAGAAATAAATGGCGCAGACGGAGTAGGTCAAGTCACTTAGCAGTGGTGCATCAATTAGCGGTAAGGGTCCTTATTAAGGAAGTGTGCCTTATCCGTGTCACAATAGGTCCTGGGGCACCTTGAGATAATGGGCTGGATGTAAGCCTCTGATACAGTAGTTATGGTGCCTGCGGAGCACAGACTCCCACTAGAAGCAAGTGTATGAAGTATGGTGTAGCACACTGTGTGGGACCTTACAACTGTCCACCAATGAATAACCACATGCAGAATCCAATAAACAGAGTAATCTGAAGGCAGGAATAATATATGCACAGCGAATGTCTTTTAAAATTATTATTATTAATATCTCTACTTTATACCATCATTTTCCCATACCAGGTATCAAATCCAAGTGCAAGTGTAGGAGGCTGACAACTGGGTGATCCTGAAGTATGCCTTCACACCAGAGAGGTACTTGAAAGAAGTGGGAACAATGTTCCTGCATATGACTAAAAGTGCAAAATGTATGACAGTACGTCATTAAACCAGTATCCGCATGGATACCTCAGATAACATGTGATTACCAATCCTAAAACAAATCCCAAAATAAATATGCTATTGGTAAATTTAAGGTCTGCATCATATTGGAAAAAAATAAAAAATAAAAATAAAATGAAGGCTGGGGGGCCTTTTAAATAGGTTACGGTATATACACAGTTTATAATAATTACTAAAAACCAACCCATAGCAACCTTCTCTAAAAACCTTAGAAAAAAATACTGCAGAAATAAACTGATATATTGTGCAAGCATGACAATACTTTCACTGAAGGGAAATAATACTTTCCGGCTCCTTAGAGAGGAAGCCTGCCTGTACCGGTGTACAGGTGTCCCGGTGTATCTCTGACAGTGAGGGGGGGGGGGGGGAGGATTTATTAAAAAAAAACTAAAACTTTTCTCTATTCCAACGGTCAACGTTTCAGTTCCGCTAGGGAACTTTCATCAGGAAGCTGTATTCTGTATTCTGTCCTGATGAAAGTTCCCTAGCGGAACTGAAACGTTGACCGTTGGAATAAAGAAAAGTTTTCGTTTTTTTTTAAATAAATCCTGGGAGTGCTGATTCCTTTTGGCTGTGTATATATATATATATATATATATATATATATATGGAACAGTTGTCTAGGGGTATATACATTGACAGCATCATCAGCCAATTGCAATGAATACATAAAATAAAAAGTAACTGCAATATTTCTGTATAACAAGTGAAATAGGTAAGTCGACAGTTCACAGCAGGAAACATGAGGCTCTGGTTAAACTGTAAGTTAAAACTTGAGACAGGTCAACAGGACATGTCAGACAAAGTATAAGTATTTTAATACTTCCATATCATTTTTATTCAGGCCTATTGACCTTGATTCTTTCAGCCATACATTGTGGGATGTATTGAATTTGAATTGTCTCTGTTACAATGCTGTATTATTTGAATATTAATATAAATTAATTTTATTATTACTATTATTATGATGACACGGCCCTGGTGTCTCTGTTACCGAACTTGCAACAATTCAGGCAATGCTGTTGTCTGTGGATTTCTTTTTACATAACCTGCACCACTAACCGCTCCACTAAATGCTAGTACCGTATATGCTCGAGTAAAAGCCGAGTTTTTCAGTACATTTTTTGTTGGGGGCTGGCAGGAAGCGTTTACTTACCTTTCCTGCAGCTCCCTTCTCTCTCCTCCGGTCTGGTCAGCACTTGCAGAGACTTGCAGAGGGAGCTGACAGGGGAGCTAACCGGACCAGAGGAGAAAGAAGGGAGCTGACAGGAGCTGCAGGAAAGGTAAGTAAACGCTTCCTGCCAGCCCCCTCCTACACAGCCCATGCCACTAGACCACCAGGGAGTGAGAGCCCCCCTCCCTGGCCATGTATCAAGCAGGGACGGAAAAAAAAATAACATAAACATTTTAATAATATAAAAATATATATTAAAATAATAATAATAATATAAAAAAAATAATCAAAATGCCCACCCCCCACCAAGGCTCTGCATCACATACACAAACACACACTGCATTCATACACACACACTGCATTAATACACACACACACACTGCATTCATACACACACTGCATTAATACACACACACACACACTGCATTCATACATACACACACTGCATTCATACACACACACACACTGCACTCATACACAGGGCCGGCGCTACCTGTAAGGCGGACTAGGCAGCCGCCTAGGGCGCCCCTTGGGAGGGGGCGCCGCCAGGAGCGCCGGCCCCGCTCATGCTGCAGCCGCCCGAGCGCTCTGTGAAGAGCCTCGGGCGGCTGCAGCTTTGCCCGGGCGGTGCGTCCATGAGGGCGGACCGCACCGCCCGGGCGCAGCCTGAGGAGAGGGGCTGACAGGAGGGACACGCTCAGCGCTCAGCGCTCCCACCTGTCAGCTCCCTCTCTGTAGCGTGGCCGAGCCCTCTATGGCATGGTCCGACCGGTACAGAGAGCAGCTGTCTCCTGTACCCGGCCGGACTAACAGGAAGTGAACACTGAGTGTGCACTTCCTGTTAGTCCGGCCGGGTACAGGAAACAACAGCTCCCTGTACCCGCGGACTATATAGGGCTCGGCCACACTACCACACAGGTAGGGGAGGGAGGGGGAAGAAAGAGGGAGGAAGGGGGGAGAAGAAAAAAGAGAGGGAGGGGGAGAAGAAAGAAACAGGGAGGGAGGGAGGGGGGAGAAGAAAGAGAAGAAAGAAACAGAGAAGGAGGGAGGGGAGAAGAAAGAAACAGAGAGAGAGGGAGGGGGAGAAGAAAAAAAAGAGGAGGAGGGAGAAAGAAAGAAACAGGGAGGAGGAGGAGAAAGAAAAAAAAAAAGAGAGAGGGAGGGAGGGAGAAGAAAAGTAGGGAGGGAGGGGGGGAGAAAAGAAAAGAAACAGAGAGGAGGGAGAAGAAAAAACAGAGAGAGGGAGGAGGAGAGAGGAGAAGGAAACAGAGGGAGGGGAAGAAAAAGAAAACAGGGAGGGGGAAAAGAAAAAGAGGGAGGGAGGGAGAAGAAACAGGAGGGAGGGAGAAGAAACAGGGAGGGAGGGGAGAAGGAAACAGGGAGGGAGGGGGAGAAGGAAACAGGGAAGGAGGGGGAAGAAAGAAACAGGGAGGGGGAAGAAAGAAACAGGAAGGGGAGGGGGGAAGAAAGAAACTGACAGGGGAGGGGGGAGAAAGAAACTAACAGGGGGGGGAGACATTGACGGGGGAGAGAGAAATTGACAGGGAGGGGGGAGTGACAGGGGAGGGAGGGGAATGAGAGTAACAAGGGAGGGGGGGAGAAGAGAGTGACAAGGGAGGGGGGAGAGATTGACATCCATCACACACACACACACAATCACACACAATGCACCCCTTACACACAAAGACAATGAACCCCTTGCACACAGAAAAACACACAATGCATTACACACACAATGCATTACACACACACACGCAATGCAACCCTTACACACAATGCATCCCCTTGCACACACAGAAACACACAATGCATTCCTTACACACACTCAATGCACCCCTTACAGACTCACACACTTCATCCCTTACATACACAGAAACACACCTTGCAGCCCTTACACATACAAACACAGATTCACACAATGCATTCCTTACACACAAATCAGGACATTCCCTACACACTCCATCCCCTGTGAACAAACTCATTGGTGGAAAATGAAGGTGGACCCTGGGACCCAGACCTTGAGCTGTGTAAAGGGCCCCCAAAAAATGGAGCTGCTTCTCGCTCTCCCAGAACATTGATTTGTGTGACCACAGTTACAAACAGCCTCCAGAGATCCTGTTATACACCAGACCAGTGGAGCCAGACTGCAGCTAGAGCCCATCATCATCCCCATCTGCTTGTAAGTAGGTAATCTAGTATATTATTCGTGGCACTAATCTCTAATTTACCTCACATTAAAGAAACACTATAGTCCCCAGAACCACAGCAGCTTAATGTAGTGGTCCTGGTGTCTATAGCCTGTCCCTGCAGGCCTTTTAATGTAAACACAGCGGCACTGCAGCACTAGCTTTAGTTAACATGGCAGGTCATATGGGTGGGGCATTGCGATGTCACGGGGGGGAGGAGGGGGGCGTCAAACTTTACTTTTGCCTAGGGCGGCAAAAATCCTTGCACCGGCTCTGCTCATACACACACACACACACTGCATTCATACACACACACTGCACTCATACACACACACACTGCACTCATACACACACACACTGCACTCATACACACACACACACACACTGCACTCATAGACACACACTCACTGCATTCATACACACACACTGCACTCATATACACACACACACGGCATTCATACACACACTGCATTCATACACACACTGCATTCATATACACACACACTGCATTCGTACACACACACACACACACACACACACACTGCATTCATTATATACACATACTGTAAATAAATATTCAATTAATGTCATTTTTTGGAGATCTAATTTTATTTAGAAATTTACCAGTAGCTGCTGCATTTCCCACCCTAGTCTTATACTCGAGTCAATAAGTTTTCCCAGTTTCTTGGGGTAAAATTAGGGGTCTCGACTTATATTCGGGTCGACTTATACTCGAGTATATACGGTAATCATCTTTGGCAATAGAAGCCTACAAAGTTTAGAGCAGACTTATATTGCTCTACCCTTGTGAGTGTTTTGGTTTACATTTTCTTTATCCTTGTGTATGTACATACTACCCTATGATTGTATATTTCCTTTCTCTTTTTGAGACATATATTGGAGTGCTGACAGAACTTCAAAAGCAAATTCCATAGCATATTGCCATACCCGTTTGTTTTCGCCTGGACCTGCAGCAGTGTTTCAAGTCTCTGCCCTTTCTTGCAGGTAAGTGCTATTGTGGTTTAGTATGGTTCTTTTAGCGAACATTAGGCAGTGTAAGACCTGCCGAATATGGGGTACATTGGCGTTGTTGGCAGGCTTATGCAATGTATGATCATATACTGTAACTAAATCCCCATACTTTTCATATATAGTGCTTAGTTATTTCTCCTCTTGTTTTGCCTATCATATCTTGTCTTATTTTAGTCCATGTACAGTCCTGTCCTGCCCCTGTTTAGTTAATGTTCCCTTATGTATTGTGTACATGTTCTGTGTTTAGCTTCCTATCCTTCTCTGGTTCTGGGTTCTATTAGTTCTGTCTTGTTTTCATGTTTGGTGACTATCCTAGCCTTGCCTTGTTTCTGTACTGGATACATGTCTGCTGCAGAGCCCCCCTATCCAGTTCCTGAGAGGTCTGCATATCAAGCTCCTAGTTCCTGGAATCCGTTGTAGCTGCATCAGGGTTCTGGTATGTGGCCGCGCAAACGCTGGTGCTCAACGCCAGAGGATGTGTGGTTACCCTGCAGCAGGCCCTGATAGTCCATTACCACGCTGAAGACTCCCACTTCTCATCAGGCATTCAGGGGTCCCGGTTTCTGTACCGCCACCAGTGATAAATGGGATCTAAAAAAAAGAAACAGTGCAATACAAGTGCAAGAATTCTTGGGAGCAGCAGGATTCTGTAGGATATGGATTCCTAATTATGCGATATTAGCGAAACCCTTGTATGAAGCTGTAAAAGGCACGGAACATGATCCCTTCCTATGGACCACAGAACAACAGAAGGCATTTGAAGATATCAAGAAAGCACTTATGTGTGCCCCAGCCCTAGGCCTACCAGATCACTCGCGTCCTTTCTACCTATATGTTCATGAGCAAAGAAGAATGGTTGTGGGAGTGTTAACTCAGTACTTAGGATCATGGCAAAGACCTGTAGCCTACTTGTCCAAACAACTGGATGCGGTGGCTAGTGGTCTTCCACCTTGTCTACGAGCAGTGGCTGCTGCAGCTTTGTTGGTAGCGGAAGCTGACAAACTTACATTGGGTCAGGAATTCTATGTGCGAGCACCTCATGCAGTACAGACCCTACTGGATTACAAAGGTAATCATTGGTTCAGCAATAGCAGAATGACCAAGTATCAGGCTATGCTATGCGAGAATCCAAGAGTACATCTTGAGACTGTCAACAATCTCAATCCAGCTACCCTTCTGCCACAGATTGCTGAAAGTCAACATTACTGTCTGGAAATAATGGATGAAGTATTTTCTAGCAGGCCAGATCTCCATGATTTTACCACCCAGAACCCAGATATACAGTACTATACGGATGGTAGTAGCTTTGTGAAAGAAGGTATTCGGTATGCAGGGTATGTGGTAACCACCATAGACAAGATGATAGAAGCACGACCATTGTCGAAAGGGACATTAGCACAGAAGTCGGAATTAATTGGACTGACAAGGGCCTTGCAACTAGCTGAGGGGTTGAGAGTGAACATCTATATGGATTCAAGATATGCCTTCTTAACAACTCATGCCCATGGAGCATTGTATAAAGAAGGAGCTGTAAAGGTGGCAGAGGTGACACCTTGGATTCATCACTCTAGGTTTAAACCAGTGGCAGATTCCTGGCAAGCTACTCCAGATCGTGAGAGATCCGGTTGAAGCGCATGTCCTAGTCGAATTGAGCGTGATTTGAGAAGTAAGAGGTGATTTTTGAAGAATCGTCGTTGAAATTTGCAGAGATCAACAAGTAGGTGTTTTGACAGCCATAATAAAGCCTGCCTACGTTTCATAGTCAGAGTATCTCAAAGGGACCTCTGTGAAGGTAAGTGAGGATCAGAAGTACTACAATCTTTGCAGCCCTCACAAGCGGGAAGCTGAGGTGCCGTCGCACGGTCGAAGAATTAAGATGAGGATCACAAGAATAATGTGTTTAATTATGTGCTTTAGTATTTTTATGATTTTTCTGGAGGGTAAAGGTAAGGATATTCCAAGCTGTGTTAGTTGTATTAAAACTACGAAAACAGGCAAACAGATATCCCAGACCCTAATTTGGCACTCACAATATGAATCTAAGGGATCTGTGTCTAGGTGTAGGTACTTAGATACTGATTATAGTGTGTGTCATCCGATATCAGGTGAGCCTAAGTGTTTCAATCCCCAATTCCAACCCCGTACAATTTGGTTGGTAATTTGAAATAGTAACTCTAGACTTTGATATGCACCATACATTCTACGGGTATTCTATTATTTGATGCATGTAAGGTGATTTTGGGTAGTGGAAAACCTTGGAATGTATGTGGTAATATTAAATGGGAACGAACTTATGGGTTCAACAACAAATATTTATGCCCTAGTAAAAGATCTACTGATCCGGACTGCCCAAATAGAGACTTTAACTGCTGCCCATATTGGTCATGTGTAGGGTGAGCGAAAGATAGTAGATCAAGACATGATTATCCAAAGGTTGCCCACTACACCGTATTGTAAAACCATGAAATGTAATCCCTTACATATGACCATTTCCAATCCACAGCAATTTATTGATACGTTTGGGAGTCTTTTTGAGTTTCAGATACATGGTACAGGAACAGATCCGGGAGCCATATTATATGTAGATATTGAAACCGAGACAACAGCTGCTCAGACTCATTAGGTTCTCCATTCCTTTTATGAGGAGATGAGTGTTGAGGATAAAATTCCCCATAATGTTAAGAACCTATTTATTGATTTGGCTGAGAGTATTGCAGGTAGTCTTAATGTAACTAACTGCTTTGTATGTGCAGGTACTAATAATGGAGACCAATGGCCATGGGAGACAAAAGAGATTTGGTACCCTGGTTATGAGACAGATGAACAACAGATGCCTGCTCAGTCCGTGTCAGGATTATAGAATGATCCAGCACGTAGAACTGTGTAACACAGAGGACTGATAGGTAACGCATACTGTCAGGATATTTATATCGGCAGACATTTTGTGCTAAGAAAGAAATTAAAAGTATATATTGCCAGAGTCACTCAGAACAGAGCAGACTCCATTTTGCTATCTTCAGGATAACAAAGACACATAATTTACTTGCTTTCACTAACCACTGAGCCTGAGCTAAGGAATGCATTATATAAACACAGACACTAGTGACAGAGAAGACTAAGTAATTAATTTTACTTTCTAAATCTTACAAGGTCCCATTGTAAGTAAGGGGTGAAATTGAGTTTAGAACTGTCAATTTTAGAAATTACGATCAACATAGTTGCCACAAAGACTGAGACAAACGCTTTGAACTGACAGCAAATGTAAGTTATGGTAGTCATTTTAGATAAGCCAAATGACGTCAAAATCGTCATCAGGAAAAGTTAACTCTTTCCTGGATAGGAAGGTTTAGTAAGGCGAGACTGCCCTCTATGGACCAAATACCTAAATTGCGATCCATAGATTGAACACACCTTCAGTCTCCTATTGGCCTTATTAACTAATGACGTACAGAGAGTCTGGCCCTTTAAAAGTTAGGACAAAGGGAAGAGAGAAGTTAGTTGGTGGAGTTTGGGCATTCAGATTCGGACATGCAGAGAGAGAGATTCAGGACACTCTCTGGGACTAACACTCAACTCGTAAACTCCTTGACACTTAAAATTTACTGATACTTTCTAACCAACATCACTTTTCTCTAACTGTTAGCCAAGGTTCCATGGCTGAGCTGTGTGAGGTTTTGTAGCTTTGTAATGTGTTTAGCCCTTCCATTGTATTGCATACTTATGTTATACTAAATATTCACTGATTATTATCATGCCTGCTGCCTAATATTATTGTTATTTTATTTGTCACAATAAATTAAATCTATTTTTATAACAAATTGTGATTTTATTTGTATGGAATACATTTCACTTACATGATAACGATCTCTAAGAGCTAAGAGAATTGAAATAGTGGGCGATTCTCGACTGTTTAATATTATCATCCCATAAATATCCCCACATATTGGAGGCACACTGCTGAGATCATTAAGTTGAAATTATATTCCATACAATAATTCTGAGGCGTTGCTATTGAGTAATTCATGCAATATTAATCTTGATATAGAAAAGAGTTTTGTATTGAGGTTAAATCAGTGTGTAGAAATATGGCTGAATCCAGCGCTTCATCTCAATCAGAGAATGGGAAGAAGTTAGCAGAAGTACAAGTTTTTCCCTTAAGCATCATATATAAGCATCTAAAGATTAAAATGGATTATAAAGAGTGGGTACTCCAAATTAGAGAACAAGTTTATAATTCGATTCATGATAGATCGGATAATTCACCTTTGGTTAAACATTTTAGCAACATAGATGAAGACTCTACAATGCAGTCTGTTACCAAATCAAACCGTTTTTCATATTGGGTTATTCACTTATGTTAAAAAAGCATAATGAGATAGAACTTAAATTGGACGAGTGTCAGAAAGACCTGGTGCTCGAACAAAGAAGGTTCAACACTTTGTCTGATGAAAATAATATCCTTCAGGTTAAGAAGTCTGGCCTTTCAAATAGACTGGAAGGAATGAGCAAAATGGTGGATGATTATGATCAACAGATAAAACAGATACAGATACAATTAGATGAATATCAAAAGAAAAGTGAAAAATTACTGGGAAAAGACCCAGGCGATTCTTCTCAATTCCCTGATATTCACACACCAAACCAGGTTTTCATAGAACAGTCTCAAAGAAAAGATGTGAGTAATTCTAAAAAAAATCACCCGTGGAACAAGATTCCCTATCTCATGACATTACCAAGCAATCTTGGCAATCTTGGGCAGAACAGTTTGAAAAGACTGTCTTGGCCAAACTTGACGGAGGGAATCAGGTTCCAGGTGATAGGAATGAAAACAGACATGGTTCTGTACACTGGCAGGATTCTGATGCAGATCAGAATTGTGACAGTGAACAAGAAGCTCAGAGTGATGGGAGTGAAAGTGATTGCACTGTCCACTCTGAAGGCCATGTGACTGATATGCCTTCTGCACTGTTGTATGGATCTAATTCCTCTTCAGCAGCCAGATCGCATAGACGTTTACCAAAAAGAAGGGGCAATAGAAACAGGATTAATAAATCAAATATGCCTGTTTATAAAACGCCAAAGGTTATTAAATTCCTTAAAGAGACAGTCCCACAATTTTCTAGAGGTTCAGGAAACATATCTGAACATCTGGAAAATTATGAAAGTGCCATGAATTCATTGGGCATGTATGATAAAATCCAAAAGAAATGGTTCATTACATGGACCTTTGAATCAATGTGCCGTGTTTATCTAGAAAGTCTTCTAGCTATACAGCTAATGTCCTGGTCCAAGATGAAATATGAAATAATCATGGAATATGGTAAGTATAAAACCATTGCCTCTGCTAAGAAAGCGCTTTATAACTTAAAGTGCCGTCCAGATCAAAGCCCCAGAGAATTTTTAATAATTCTTAAAAATGCATATTCCGTGGCCCAAAGGAAACCCAGGTATGAAAGTACAGACTTTAAAGATCTGTATTTTCATGCCATGCCGGTAAACATACAAATGAATCTCGCAAGAGATTATGATTGTAAGTTACCATTAGAATGGCTAGTCAGTCAGTGCATGAAATTGTATACTATACACCATGCACATGATGAAAATCAGCCAAAGGTTAAGAAACCTGGTGATAAAATGGTGTCAGAGACTAAAATTCAGTTAGGTTTAGAAACCCAACAGAAAAAGAGGACCTATTCTGAGGTTTTGAAAACACCAAAACCTCAGAAACAGGAAAACGCCAGAAGCAATTCTGTAAATTCCTCTGATAACTCTGGAAAGTCCAATGCCAATGGGAATAAACATCCCTGGGTTAATAAGAACCAAGGCAATTCCCAATGGAGAAGGAATCCTCAGGGAAATAGGAGATATGGAAACAGAAACAACCAATCTGCTTCCAATAACTCCCAACAGTCTCAGCCATCCCAGCCAAATTCTAATGGGCAAAGACAAAACGGCAATGGGGGAAATAATTTGCGTCGTCAGGTTGGTCAATTGACAGACCAGATGGGCAAATTAATGGAGGAAATGACAAAGATTAACCAAGTCTTTGCCAGAAATCCTTTTTTAGGGACAGCTCCAATTGCAGAGCCACCTGTGCAACCGCAACAACAACAGGTGCCGCAGCAATAATAGCCACTGTGACTAAACAGGCTAGGTTGTCAGTAGATGTAATACCTAACCCTGTTTCCTTTCCAGGTACTAATAGTCAAACAAACAATAGTTGTGTTAGGAAACCTATTTCCTACCCCGTCACTTCACTTCCGGATGAAGGAGGCGCAACGTGTTCCTCTGTTTTTTCATTTCAGCCAAAGGCTACAATAGCCCCAGCAACCACTAGTTTCCTGGATCCAGACCTGAAAGGGTTAACTGATAAGATGCCGACCACTAGTTCCCTCTTGACAGTTCAAGATATTCCTAAAAAGGATGGGCTTGTGGGTAAGACTGAGTATTCCTCAGTACAGGTAGAAACTACTGCTGTGACAGGCAACATATGGAAAGCGAGTGATATGTTGACACATTCTAACTTCTTATGTGAATTAGAAGAACATGAAGGAAGGTACTACATGTCTGTAGAAATACAGGATTCACTACCCCAGCCTTTCAAAGGGTTAATAGATACTGGTTCACAAGCCACTATCTTATCCAATACCTACTTCCAGCAGGTAATGGACTTAGCAGCGGATAAGCCGAAGCTAAAAGATTTCCCCAATGCTCTGTTGAGTGTAGGAGGAAATGCCCTTCATGTTATTGGCAATACCTGGTTAAAGTTTAAAATAGGTAACAAAACCTTTAGACACCCGGTGATAGTGGTAGATCTCCCCTATGACCGACTGATTCTGGGTATAGACATACTCAGAAGACTTAACACAATTATTGACTGTGTAAATGGAATTGTATGGTCACAAGCTAAGGTTCCTATAACCTATGAGAAATCACATGTTCAATCTGATCGTAATTGCCATGTGAAGAAAGACCTGACTCGATTGAGGTACATTTTAGGAATAGTCAGTCACCTGACGTGACTATCCTGCAGGTGAATGATGCAATCGCACCTGTAGATGAGCATTCCGTAAGAGTTGCTCCAGAGAGGATCCAGAATGTCTCTCTGGAAGGTGATGTTTTAACCATTTCTCTCCACAGGGACTATGTTGAATCTGTAGATCTGGCAGGTCATGCTCAATTCCTTGCCAGAATTGAAAGGGTTAATAACAACTTATTCCTTCCTATTCAAATAACTGACTTAGGGAGAAGTAGGAATGCAAAGCTGGACTTAAAGAGTGAGAACAGCTATATTAGCAGAAGTCTGTTAAAGCAGATCGCTAATCCTAAAATGATCAGGTATGCTTCCCCACATGACAGGTGGATCCAGAACCTGGATGGCGAATCAGAGAGTCACAATGTGATGGCAAAATGTTTACTATCTATTTCCATCGGAAATAAGACAGTTAAACATTTATTCCTAGTGATAAATGAACCTCGCTATCAGGTTTACATCGGCAATGATGTCATACATCGCTTTGCCATAGACCTAGACCTGATTAATTCCAACTTGTGGACAAGGTTAAAAGGTAATCCTTGTGGATACCTACACGAGGAAAACGCCCTGAAATCAGGACAAATACTCCCATATGCGGTAAGTACCAAGTTCCTGATGACATAACCATTCCACAGGGGACAAGTAACTTTATTTTACCCCTACAGGTCAAGAAGGGTCAGAGATTGGAAAACTCTGATGCCCTAATCTGTTTATCCAATAGGATACAACAATTAGGGATGGTGGTAACACATACACCAATGGTAAGTATTGGTAAGAATCCCACCTATATAATGGTCAACAATGTTACACCCAATAGTGTTACTTTACTAAAAGGAACATTATAAGGTCTAGCATTGGATGCTGAGTACTATACATTTGGTTTCCAAAACCAAATTATAGGCCTCATCCCTGAAGAATACTTAACTGAGGACGAAATTGTCAATCAAATATTAAATTCCTCCCCAGAAGGATTATTCACTATCCTATCTGTATATCCCTTCAACGTTGAAGAAGGCTCGTGTAAAATCGAAGAAGCATCAACCACCTTCGATCATCCACTCAATGAGCAGGAATCACAAGAGTATCACGACCAAAGAGAAAAGGTAAGTCAACACCGAACTGACCTAACTTCTAGGCTTGAAGAAGCTTATGAGATAGGCCAGCCTGAAATCTTTCCAGGATTTCAGGAAAGGCTAGAAGAGCAAATATCTTTAGCTGACAGTTACCAACGATGCTGAGCGGCAACAGCTAAAGGATATCCTAATGGAATTCCAAGATATTTTTGCCAAAGATTTCTACGACTGTGGGTTAACTAACCTCCACGTAGCCAGAATACAAACTGATCCAAATTTACCACCTGTATTTATCAAACAATATAGACTCCCATTAGCGTCATATGATGGTCTACAAGACATCATTCTGAATTTAAAGGAAAGGGGCATTATACATCCGGTGCACAGTTCGTATAATAATCCGATCTTGGGGATTCTGAAACCTAATGGACAATGGCGTTTATGCGCTGACTTACGACAGCTAAATAAACGCATCTATATGTCTGGTTTGCCAGTGCCATACATAGACCAATGTTTGGTACAAATGCAGGGATCCAAAATATTCACTGCCATTGACTGTGCGCAGGGATATTGGACTGTACAAGTCCATGATGAAGACCAATTCACATTTGGAAAGCAGCAGTATACCTGGACCCATATGCCCTTCGGTTACATAAACTCTGGTCATGAATTCACTGTGTTCATGCATAAAGCTATGCCTGACGCACTCGAGAGAGGAACGTTATCATATGTCGACGATGTCTTGCTGAAAAGCACTTCCTTTGATAAGCATATCATAAAGATTAGACATGTTCTCACTCAGTTAAGAGAGGCAGGGATTAAACTGTCTTTACAAAAGGCGCAATGGTGTCGCACCCATGTCAACTTCCTCGGACATGAGGTAACTTCTGAAGGATTAAATCCCCAGAGGAAGAAGGTTGAAGCTGTAATTAAGGCTAAAACACCTTCAAACATCAGGGAATTAAGATCATTCCTTGGTATGACTAACTACTCCCGTAAGTTTATAGATAACTATGCAGAAATAACGAAACCACTCTTACACCTGCTTAAAAAGGAAATTACCTGGAACTGGTGGGAGCCTCAGGACCAAGCGGTAAGTGAACTGAGGAGGAAGCTCACATAGGCACCCTGTTCAGCATACCCAGAGGAGACAGGATATACCGATTTAAGCATAAGTGCTGTTCTGTACCAGAAGCAGGACAGTTTAAACAAAGTTATTGCATATGCTAGCAAGACTTTGTCACCTGTTGAAGTTAAATTCAACACATGTGAGAAGGCATTATTGTCGACTGTCTGGGTACTACAAAATTTTCGTAGCTATATCTAAGGTGAGAAAATAATTGCAGAAACAGCTCACCAACCTCTACAGTATCTGCAGAGTGAAAGAATCAGAGACGGTAATCTCTCTAACAGTCGGATTACTGCATGGACTCTATCCTTACAGGGATGGCCGCTAGAAGTCCGTTATAAACATAATAAGAGAAGCCCAGTTTCCCAAGGTTTAGCAGAATTACATGACTGTACTGCTCCATCTCTGGATGATAATGACACCGGAGATGACTTCCTAGAAGAGCAATTGCTATCCCCTTATAAAGTTTATGACGAGGAATACTGTCGACCACTACCGTGGGTATACATTGATGGTTGTTCATATCTCCACACCGCTGTTGCTGAACGGAAGTTAGTTGCGGGTATCGGAATCACCTGGACAGGTGATTATCCCAATGTATTTATAGGATACAATATTGGTTCCAAAAGCAGTCAGATAGCCGAACTCTGTGCAGTATATAAGACCATTCAAATGGCAATAGAATATGGTATCAAAGAATTCGTTATCATAACTGATTCCAACTATGTTTGCAACAGTTTTGTCGAATATCTGCCTAGCTGGAAACGTAGCCAAATGCTGAAAAGCAATAACAAACCTGTTAAACATGGAAAATTGTTTTGTAAAATCGATGAACTGGTTAAGGAAAATGGTTTAACCATATATTGGAAGAAAACCAAAGGCCATTCTAAAATAGAAGGTATTGACAAGGATGGTAATGACTTAGCCGATTCACTGGCAAAACAAGCTGCCATCAATGGTGAAACCCTAAACATTGATGATCTTATGGGTTCAATTCATGTTGAAGCCATAACTAGACGACAGGCTAGAGATAATGCCGACTTAAACGTCGTGCAATGGAGTCAAGAAGCTCCTAGTGAGGACCTGATTACCAGTCAAAAGAACGATCCCGTCATAGGCATATTCTATAGACATATAGAAGACCCTACTGCCAATACCATCACAGATGAGGATTGCAAAGATAATGAAGATTTACGAATCTTGATGAGATATAAAGTCCAATTTAGTATCATGGATGGGTTGCTGGTCAGAACTTCTAAACATGGTATACAACAATGGGTAGTCCCAACTGTATACAGAGGGTTAATGCTCCAACACGCACATGATGCACCTACATCTGGGCATCGTGGTGATAAGATCACATATGAGATATTGCGTGATTATGCATATTGGCCACACATGTTAAGAGATGTTAAGACATACTGTCAGGGATGCTTGATTTGTCCGCAATATCAACCCCATGGTCCAACCATTCGTGCACCACTTCAGAAGAGGGGGGTGTCATTACCCTGGTCTGATATTCAAATTGACTTTATAGGTCCTGTAACAAGATCTTCAAGAGGTAACAAATACATGTTAACTGTTACATGTTTGTACACAAAGTGGATAGAGTGTTTGCCTTGTAAAGAGAACACGAGTACCGTGTGCGCCACTTTGTTAATTAACCATGTCTTTTCCAGGTTTGGTCTGCCTCAAAGACATGAGTCAGACAGAGGTAGTCATTTTACCAGCGAAGTAATGGCTATGATGTGGAAAATTCTAGGTGTTAAACGAAAGCTACATATTGCATACCGCGCTGCGTCTAGCGGGGGGTAGAGCGATATAACCAGTCTATCGAAATGTGTTAAGGAGTCTGGTAAAGACTGGGACATTAAATTGCCCTTAGTTTTATTGGCGATTAGAGCTACACCTAGCACTGCTACTAAATTGTCACCTTTTGAATTGATGACAGGAAGAAAGATGGTTTTACCACAGCATTTACTATATCGTACTTCGGATCAAAACTTGATCAATGCCGCCACTACGCATCAGTATATCGAAGATTTGAGCAAGCATTTACAGCATGCGTTTGCTTTTGCCCAAAAGAATATAGAAAAAGCAGCGACAGGGGTTAAGAACTATTACAATTTAAAAACCACGAAAAAGGAATATGAGATCACAGATCAATTCCATCTGTATAACTTTACGCGAAATCAAGTTAAGGAAAATACATTTTTACCTTCTTGGAAAGGGCCATATGCCATTGACAAAATTTCCCCAGTAGCGTATAAGATAAAAATTCCTAAGGATGGTGATTTTATTGAAAAGTGGGTTCACATTAACCAGTTGCGTGCTTGTCATCCTAAATCTCAAATAAGGATTATAGGAATGGATTCGGACGCAGAAGGGTGAACGACTAACCTGGATGAATGCTTGATTCACGTGGTATCGTATGATGTGAAATGTTGTGATGTGCCATGATCTCATGTACGTTCATGTCATAAACCATTTCCTTGCCATCCAATAACTACATTTTCTAAGCAGGTTACTAGCTTGTTTAACTGCTATAGGCGAATTACTGAAGAGTCAGTAATAAATGTAGTGAGGGATGAAGTTATAAAAATAGAATTAGAGAGAATACATATGTTGATGAATCGTAATAATGTGTTGTCCTAGGCCAAGTGATGTCACACTGTTATATGTTTGTATACTTAACAAACCTTGAATCATTAGTATATAAGTCTGAAACGAGTTCCTGATCCGTGACTGTTGAAAGATGTCCAAGAAGGATGTGGCATGTTTCTGGATCGTACTGCTCCTGTGCCAAGAGCTACGGACCGACCCGATCGCAGAGATAGGGCCATCCTCCGGCATCCTGATTCAAGAGACACCAAGGCTCATCTTGACAGAGAAGAGGATCCTGACCCGACGTGTGTTCGTCAGCTTGGACCCCAAGATTTCCATCGAGAACGCATACAACATTTCATCGATGCAGCTTCCTGAGTTACAGACTTCTTACCAGATGCACCTCCAAAGAGCACAGGACCGTGTGCGAAACATCTTGGAGCAAGCCCGGAAACCATTTGTATCCAGTACTATTTCGATGAGCAACCGACCCAAAAGGTTCCTCACCGCCATAATTGTTACATTAGTTTGTGCCACTGTCGGTGCAGTTGTTGCAACTGGAATGTCTGCAGCCAACTCTATTACTGTCCAAAAGCTGGATATGGAAATCTATGCGCTAAAGCAACACATTAACAATATTCATCAGGTGATAAACCAGCAAAGAACACTTCTCCAAGACGTGTTAACTATTGTGGAAGACACAGTTGTTACAACAAATTTGCAGTCGGAGTTAATTGCCAAATCCACTGAGTTGCACCAAAGTCATGACTTATTTAAGCGTGAACGTCTATTTCTGCATGACCCAATATTGTTCCACACACTTGCTTTTCTTGACGAAGTGCAAACTGGGATGATTGAATTGGCAGGGGGACACATACCTCTGTACTTTGTATCCAAGGATATTGTTCATGCGATGCTTGCCAGTGTGGATGGAGAGACAATTGAGCCTATGCAATTAAATCTGGCCTTTGAGATGGGGAGTGCTATACCTCTCTTAATTGATCCAGAATGCATGGAGATTTGCTTTTTATTGGCCATACCATATGTAACTCCCAAAAACATTTTTCAAATGAAAACAATTTACAATGTTAATAATAATATTATGGTTGATTGTACTAAGAGTAAAGTTCAAAGCTCTTACAGGTACAAAAATATACAAAAATGTTCATTCCATGCACATTGCTATGAAAGTCACTAAGGGGGGTTATGTCAAGATATTTATATCGGCAGACATTTTGTGCTAAGAAAGAAATTAAAAGTGTATATTGCCAGAGTCATTCAGAACAGAGCAGACTCCATTTTGCTATCTTCAGGATAACAAAGACACATAATTTACTTGCTTTCACTAACCACCGAGCCTGAGCTAAGGAATGCATTATATAAACACAGACACTAGTGACAGAGAAGACTAAGTAATTAATTTTACTTTCTAAATCTTACAAGGTCCCATTGTAAGTAAGGGGTGAAATTGAGTTTAGAACTGTCAATTTTAGAAATTACGATCAACGTAGTTGCCACAAAGACTGAGACAAACGCTTTGAACTGACAGCAAATGTAAGTTATGGTAGTCATTTTAGATAAGCCAAATGACGTCAAATTCGTCATCAGGAAAAGTTAACTCTTTCCTGGATAGGAAGGTTTAGTAAGGCGAGACTGCCCTCTATGGACCAAATACCTAAATTGCGATCCATAGATTGAACACACCTTCAGTCTCCTATTGGACTTATCAACTAATGACGTACAGAGAGTCTGGCCCTTTAAAAGTTAGGACAAAGGGAAGAGAGAAGTTAGTTGGTGGAGTTTGGGCATTCAGATTCGGACATGCAGAGAGAGAGAGATTCAGGACACTCTCTGGGACTAACACTCAACTCTTAAACTCCTTGACACTTAAAATTTACTGATACTTTCTAACCAACATCACTTTTCTCTATTACTCACGCACCTCCATACAACCAATCATACTCGCATTTTCCTGGGACTACCTACTCATCTGATGAGAATACCTACATAACTGGTCATTTCCTTTTTTTTATTTAATTAATTTAAATTAATTAAAAATTTACTAATAGCATGATATATGACTGGATAAATCACGGTCAGATTTCAATATTTAGAAATCTTAGTTAACTAAAGAATATATAGTTATAAACATTCCATTCTGCAGCTGGAAATGTGATAGTATTATGTGTTAGCATACCGTTGTTTTTATCCAGGTGTATTGATTTGCTCTAATATAAGATAAGATATCTTTTTAGGCAAATTAAAATTCGGATTTTGTAAAAATCTGGTAGATTATTCTTATTGGATGGTTCCAGGAAATGATTAATGAGCTGGTTTGAATGTTATTTTAATTGAAAATTACATGAGAATAGGTTATTATATGCCTAGGAGGATCTAGTCAGCATTGAAAGGGTTACTCAGTTGATTTAACTGTTAGCCAAGGTTTCATGGCTGGGCTGTGTGAAGTTTTGTACCTTTGTAATGTGTTAAGCCATTCCATTGTATTGCATACTTATCTTATACTAAATATTAACTGATTATTATCATGCCTGCTGCCTAATATTATTGTTATTTTATTTGTCACAATAAATTAAATCTATTTTTATAACAAATTGTGATTTTATTTGTATGGAATACATTTCACTTACATGATAACAATCTCTAAGATCTAAGAGAATTGAAATAGTGGGCGATTCTCGACTGTTTAATATTATCATCCCATAAATATCCCCACAATACCGGACATTAGAATGGCCGGACTAAAGTACCAAAGAATAGTCAGGAATAGCCGAGGTCAAGGGATACAGAAAGAGACACAATGATAAGGAAAAGCCAGGAGTCAGGGATGCCAGAAAACAGGGAAGTCAAAAACAATGCCAAAGTCAAATAACCAGAATAACCAAAATCAATAACGCGCTCTTTGACAACCACAAGGGAAACCACGACAGGGCACTGAGCAGGATGAGAACTGGGCCTAAATACCCCTCTTCTAGATCTGATAGGCTGTAACCGTCCTTTGACCCCAAAGGCAGTTACCAGGCTCCCATTTGCATAATTGCTTCTCAGCATTAACCCTTCTGTGGATTTGGTTGCTGCTCGGCACAACTTTTCATGTGTGGACAGTAAATGCCATTAACCACATTTTTATAAGCAGATAAATACGTGACATTACCCCCCACCTGAAGATCGCCCACCGGGCGGACAGGACCAGGCTTGAGAGGAAATTTGGCATGAAAATAGCGAATCTTGCGGCCAGCATGTATATCAGATGCCGGAACCCAAGAACGATCGGCTGGTCCATAACCTTTCCAATCCATCAAGTACTGTAAAGTGCCCCGAGAAAACCTGGAATCAATTATGGAGGAGACCTCATACTCTTCCTGTCCAGAAACAACTAAGGGAGGAGGAGGGACACTTGAAACAGTATATTTATTGCAAACAAGAGGTTTGAGCAAGGACACATGAAAGGTATTAGGAATTTTCAAGGAGGTTGGAAGGGCCAGAGAGTACACAACAGGATTGATCCTACGAAGGACACGAAAAGGTCCAAGGAACCTAGGAGCAAATTTCATGCTAGGGACTTTGAGCCTGATGTTACGAGAAGATAACCAAACCCTCTCACCCACTTGGTAAACAGGGGTGGCACCTCGACGTGTATCAGCAAAATGCTTGAAACGGTCAGCAGCAGTACCCAGAGCAGATTGAACTTTAACCCAGGTTTCACGGATGGAAGCCAGACGGTCATCCAAAGCAGGAATAGCTGTTTCAGAAAAAACAGCCGGTAGGACAGTAGGATGCCGGCTATTATTTTTTATATTTCTTTATCTTTATTATATAAATTTTTAACATTTGCATATGAGGTACCCCAAAGGCAATCCTCCAGCTCATTAAGACAACCAAATACAAAGAATAAATGTTAAAAAAGAGAACAGAACAAAAAAAAAGGACAATAAAAAGAATCAATGTAACTGCTAGGAACATAGACAAGTTGGCAGTATATTATAATATAGGCACTGTGTCATATTGAACACCGAGTAATTACACATATAATACAGTGTATCCGTTGAAAGTCATCATGGTATAAGTATCACATTGATAACACACAAAAAAAAAAAAAAGGAGAAGAAAAAAAAAAATTGTTATACTACAAATAATTACTCCTCTGAGACTCGATAAGGGGGGGACCACAATGCATAATCATGAATTCTGTCTATTTGTCCAGGGTAACCATAATTTGGCCACATCTCTAGTGCCAAAAAAGGGATTTGATTCCATCCTATATTGATACTCTATTTGCTCCATAATATTATGCCAAATTAATGGGGTAGATGATTTCCAAGCCCTAGCTATACATATTTTAGTAGCAAAAAATATATGAGTCAAGAGATATTTTTGATATTTGTCCTGCGAAGGGAAACCAATATTAAAGAGAAAAAGTTGAGGGCTAATTTCTTCTATCTCCTTAAAAATAGAATTAATAAGGCCAAACATTTGAATTTTTATATTATCAAGACCATGACATTCCCACCATATATGATAAATAGTTCCCTCCTCAATTCCACATCTCCAACAATTCTTAGAATGGACAGATGATATTTTGTATAGTCTAGTCGGTACCATATACCACCTATATATTATCTTTAAATGTGTTTCATAAAGAGAGACACTATGTATACAGCGTTTAACTAGGAGTGTGGCTTTAGTCCATTCCAGAAGTGAAAAAGATTCCCCAATATCTTGTTCCCATTTAACAAAGGAGGTAGCATGAGAATCTTGTTCCATTGATTCTAGCACCTTAATAGATCTAGAGATCCCACCCTTCTTTTTATATAATATAATAAGGGGATTAACGATATGGTCCTTAAGTATGGTCCGAGAAAGTATAAAATTCTTAATCCTTAGATATTGGAAAAGATCTCTGGGGGGAAGATTAAACTTTTCTTGCAATTGTGTAAATGGGATGGGTTTAGATCCATCCCATAAGTCCGAGATCTTTGTTAGACCTAGATGTATCCAAGATTGAACATTTATATTATCCATTGTATGTTGTAGGACCACTAATGGAACTCTATATAATAACTTATCTTCCAACTTCAATTTTATATTTAGAATTCTAGAAGTATTGACCATATCTATCAATATTCGGTTCGAAAAATTCTTGGTATCCAATTCACCCAAATTTAACAAACCCATCCAAAAAAGAACAAACAATTTACTTCTAGGGCTATCCTCCTGTTCTAGGGTAAACCATGATATGGATCCCTGTTCCCTATCTAACCACTGTAGCAGATGAGTCGCCATACATGCTTCATGAATTTTATCAACATCTGGAAATGCTATTCCACCCTTCTGATAACTCCTTCGAAGAGTGTCAAAAGCTATCCTAGGTGGTTTATTTGCCCAAATGCATTTGGAAATCAGAGTTTGAAAGCGGTTAAGAGTACCTTTCCCCAGTCTGTAAGGAATCGCCCTAAAATAGTATATAAGTTTAGGTATCAAGAAAGCCTTAATCATATTTAATCTTCTTATCCATGAGGACTCAATCTTCCTCCAGTTGTCTACCAGTTGTTGCAAGTCTCTTAATAATGTGTCATAATTTGTTTGTATCATCCTCTCTATATCGAAAGATATTTTAATCCCCAAATAACCAATAGTATCTTTTGCCCATGAAAATTGGAAATGTGCAGTCAAAAGATCTTTCTGAGCCTCAGATAGAAAAGAGGCTAGTATTTGAGTTTTTTTCATATTGATCTTATAATTGGAGAAGCTACTATAGTTGGATATAGCATCCAATACCGATGGAATTGAAACCATCGGGTCCGTCAAGGTAAGGAGGACATCGTCTGCAAAAAGGGAAATCTTGGTTTCCCCATTGTGAGATTTGACCCCCTTTACATTAGTATCCTGTCTGATCAGAGTGGCCAAAGGTTCAATTGTAAGAATATATAACAGGGGAGCCAAAGGGCAACCCTGTCTAGTACCATTTTTGACCTCAAAAATGTCAGACTCAACAAGGGGGTTAATTATTTTAGCTGTACAATTCCTATATAGCAACATAGTTTTATGTCTAAACTGACCCTCTAAGCCAAATTGGCCCATGACAGAGTCCAGGAATCTCCAATTGACTCTGTCAAAGGCCTTCTCAGCATCGAGGGCCATAATAACAGATCCCCATTTATGTTCATTTATTCTATGTATTAAGTTAAATGTCCTACGCGTATTATCTGTAGTACCTCTCCCTCGCACAAATCCAGACTGATCAACATCAATCAATTCTCCAATTACCACTTTAAATCTGTTACATAATATTTGAGAGAATATCTTTATATCTAAGTTAATAAGAGATATAGGTCTATAATTAGTTATAAGTGTTAAATCTTTCCCTATTTTGGGTATAGGAATGATTGAAGCCAATAGCATCTCATTAGGGAAAGGGGTATCCGCGGACGCCTTCGTAAACATCTCTAGAAGGATAGGGGAAATGAGTCTAGAAAAGGTTTTATAAAACATTGTTGAGAAGCCATCTGGGCCTGGAGCCTTGTTCAATTTTAACTTGTCTATTACTTCGGTTACTTCTGATAGTAGAAATGGGGCATTCAGCGATTCCAACTTCCTTTGGTTAATTTTTGGTAATTTAAGGTTACTCAGAAATGTATCCATTTCTTCTCTACTCCTCCCTACCTCCTTTAGATTATATAGAGATTTATAAAATTCCGCAAATGCATTTACAATGTCATTTGGTAACACTAAATGTTTATCACCTAAGACAATTTTTTTTATAAACTTATCTTTAAGATTATTTTTAATTTTGTTAGAGAGATCTTTATTTATTTTATTATTATTATGGTACCACCTTTGTTTAAGGAATAGTATATTTTTATTGACCAAATCGTAAATTCTATCTTTGATAGTTTCCCTTAATTTAGCTATTTCCTCGGTTAAATCTTTATTCACCACATTTTTATTTAAGCGTTCCTTATTTGCCAATTTTATTCTTAACTCCTGCAAAGATTCTCCCTTCTTCCTTTTAGATTCTGAGCCAAGTTTAATCAATAATCCCCTTATAAAGCTTTTAAAGGTACACCATACCGTTGCCGTAGAAACTTCCCCATTATCATTGGTGATCAAAAAATTTTCAATTTCAGATGACAAAAAATCAATGTTGCACTCTGATTTCAAGAGGCTTTCATTAAGTCTCCACCTTGTCCTTGGTCTAAGGCCACCTTTTAACTTAACCTTAATGAATACTGGTGCATGATCTGATACAACTATGGATCCTATATTGGAGCTAATAATAGAACTCAGAAACCCCGCTTTCACCAGAAACATGTCTATTCGAGAGTAAGTCTGGTGAACATGTGAAAAGAAAGTATAATCTCTCTCACTAGGATTCAAAGTCCTCCAACAATCAAATAGGGAATTCCTATCTAGAAATTTACAAAAATCAGAAATGTAGGTATTTACAAATTTATAATCTCTAGCATTTTTATGGCTTTTATCCCGTACTGGATCCAATACACAATTGAAGTCTCCCCCAATTATGATGTT